AAAAATTTGTTTGTTTTTTACGACCATTTCTTTGAGGCGTTTGCATAAACAGAACATCTCTGGTTTGGGATATCGGCATCATTCGCAGTTTTTACAGCACTTTTGCTATAAGGCACAGGTTACTGCATTCTTCTCTAAAAATACATTTGCCTCTACTTTGTTTCTTCTGTTGCACGCTGGCCTTCAGGTCGACGTGTACCGTGTTTTGTCGACGTCTACCATGTTTGAATGAGAAGTTCATAGGTGTGAAAAAATTATGTATATATAAGCAATTTGCCTGGCAGGCTAAGCTTTGACCTCGTTTTCTTAGTCTCCACATCTACCGATGTCACTAGTGCCTGGAAGAGAGTGGATTCATTCCATACGTAGCCCTACCATTTAACCCTCATTATGCGTTAAAGCCGACGCTGCTACACGCGGTTCAGCCGTCGTTCTTGCTCCATCACCGAAACAACTGTTACTGGATATGATGGAACCGAAATACTTAAATTGGTGAACCTCGTGAGCGCCTCATTTACGTGTTCCACTTGTAAATTAGTTGTACCAGTTGGGTTCCAATCTTTCGATCCATACCTTACAGACCTTCAAAGCGCCTATTGCTAACTTGTTGCGATAAAGCGCTTCTACCATCTTGTTTCTTCACTCATAAGCACAAGCTGCAACACCAGTGCTACGTGTATAAACCCATTGAACAAGGTCAGTGATACATTCCTCAAAACACCTTACTCAAGTATATCCTTGATCGCTGTTTAATAAAATACGTTTAGAGACTTGATGTGCTGTGTCATTAAAGGAACTGAATAAGAAATTTTTGCAACTTGACCGTTGCTTGAAAAACTGACCGAGAGTTTCAGTTATTCTGGCTGAAATTCGAACTATGAACTATGAATCAAGAACCTGGCATCATTTATGCTAGCGAAATTCCCTCTTATGCATTTGGATTCCTGAAACTTTCAGAGATATTTGCCAGCAACAGCGAAACACCATCAGACTTTACTTAATAAAGAATGTTTCAGATGGACCCTGAAACAGACACCGGGAAAACTTCGATCAGTCAGTAGGCTTTCCCTCAAAGAGATAGTAAAATTCTTGAATTGAATCGAACATGAAAAGATCATCGACCGATACAGTCCTACTGAAACATAGAAGCTTTCGGGATGCCGAAGTGTTAGCATTGTTTCAACCTGATGAAGAAAGGTTTAGTCGTTGGGTGAAACAATTCGCCGCTGCGTAAGCCCTCTTCTATTGAACAAGCAAAGCACCCATTGCAGTTAAATTTTGTTTCCTTCATATGGTGAATATAAACTTGATCATTTTTATCTGGGTGTGTAACTAGGAGGTAGTTTCAGTCTGTGCTTATTGTCCAAAACTACCTGTAAAATACGGAGATTCTGTCCGTTCCGTGGAAAATGAATAACCGGATTAGTTAACACGTGGCTTTTCTCAACAGAGTCGATGAAAAAGGGTTCATCTGCCGTTTCGGAATATGGTATACTAAACGACCACTGTATTACGTAATATATGGAACGTTTGTAGCATCGTCCAGAAGCAAGCTAACTACAGAAAGAGAAAAGCTTGGAGGCAGCTACAGCAAAACCTACTATGAATGCTCCTTTAATCTCCGTGAGCGGCGACCCTTTGATCTGTGCAAGATTCGGGCTGATAACAGTCAGAAGTGCGCCAGCCAACTATCCCAGCGCTGCTTACAGATAAGTAAAATGACCAGTAAGAAACGACCTCAGCCGTCAAAGCTGATTCGCCCATGGCTGATGACTACTAAGAAATTATCTGCGTTGACCAATTGAACGTGTCCAAGAAGTAGTCCCATCCTGGATACTCATTGGCCGCTACAGTGACAAACATTACAAACAAAACTATTTCTATGTACTGGTTATTAACCATAGTGTGTGTCTACATGTGTCTGTTTACCACAGAAATGAACCCCTTTGCTACGCAGAGCTGCAGTCAAAGGTCACAGTACAAAAAGCGAGAATAAAGACCGAAAGAGAATTAAGTGATCAGTTCAGTGTTACAGCTCTGTTGCTAATGTTACTATTACTAATTAAAAGTTGCTAATGTTTGCACCTTTGAGTTTGTGTTCGTTACAAACTAACTACCCTTCTGTTGCAACCTTACCCTATCACTAACAGTATTTCAAACGTTCCCACAAAAGTCCCACCCCGGTGCCAAGTAAAGCCCGTCGTCCAAAACGGGGCAACCACCAGTGACAATTACGTGTAAGATCCTTGCAGGTGTTGATCCGAATTCAAAAGCATCCCACACTTCCTGAATCCGATTTAAAGTATTTCCACAGTAAGACGGAAATACTTATTCAAGTGATTTCTGCAACTCACTTCAATTCCGCCTTCTTCAGAAAAGTGCAATTTCAATGGTTGTAGACTCAGAGAAATAGAGGGTTTTTTCAAGCAAACTACATTTGCCATTTTCAAGGCAAGCAGTGTTTGCCCTGAGGAGACAAATCTATGTAGATCGGATGAAACCTCGGCAGTTATAATAACAAATACCATCTGCCTATTTCCATGTGTATAGAACAGCTGAAGTAGAAGTTTACTTATCCAGAAGTACTAACTTTTATAAACTTTAATTTAAAACCAGCGCCATGATTCCCATGAAGCTTCATTTAAACAACTACTGATTTGAAATTCCACTTTTTTACCCTAGCGCATGTAGGTTATTATTCGTTTTTAATGGCATTACGAAGTTCATTTGAGGGAGAACTAAGCAGCGCATAGAAAAAAATTTAACAAATATTACTAAGCAAATGTACCGCCTCATGTTCAGAGCTGAAATCTTGTCGTTTCTCTCAGGACTTTAAGAAGATCAAAACCATAAAATTGACAAATTTTTATTTTTAGGTAATTCGATATTTTGCTGGTAACAGTAATCAGTGGTTCGGCTTAACAGACTTGTCTGATTGATATTGATTGCTTGATCTGTGTAGTGACTTACGACTATATTGCGCATATCTATTAATCTAATGCCTTTTCAGAAGCCTCCTAAAATAACATCGAAATTTATCTATCGAGTACGCAACTACGTGTCCGACCTTTCGTTTCGCAACACTGGACCTGCAGCATCGGCCAACCACACTTCTTCATGAAAACCTGCTGGTGGTTGTTCTACGCGGTCGCTTCGTTTGCCATTGAAAACCATGCTTCGTTCAGCATTAATTTCCAGCGGGTTCTTGAACCGCCGATGCATCACTACAGTCATGTCGGCCACAGCGCGACATTACGCAACGGAAAGGAGGTGTGGGTTCATCTGAAGGCGAAGCAGACCAAAGAGTAATCGTTGTCTTCCCCTGTTCGTGTGCCGTGTTTGAACGAGTCCGTTTTAGGTACTTTTTCGAGGTGAAGGAGGATGGGTCGTCGCTGAGAATCACCATTACTCCCTGCGGGGGTCTGATACACTGGAAACTCGTTAAACTACCGAACGACAGGCAAAAGGAGAAGCTCTTCTTTGCAAGTAAGCTGACCTGTAAACTTTCAGTGGTAAACAGTGATCTGATATCATACGATGATGATATGACTAGTGATGTTGATGGCCTGACCACTGGTGAGAAGTAGTGCTTTAAGATGATCCATTTTGAAAGACAATTCCACAACTATCCATATTCCATTTAAGTTTGTAAATGGCAAATAACACTAAGGAAAGAAAGTTTGAATGTAAGATATGCATAAACAAAATTATCCCAGTTAGTTACCTCTAGTACCGGAGAAGTTTACCGGTTCTGCTTAAAAGCTGAATTTCAGCTTAAATGGCAAAACTATTTGGAAGAAGTAAATGACGTGTCCTTCGCGAAACTTTGCCCGGTTCTTTTCACGTAGCATGTTGACCTTCTCTACAAGTAGCTCTCTCAAAATTCACGATTGACTTGCTCCGTTCGACTTCAAGCTCTGTGACTACAAGACAGTCAGAAGTTTAACCTATCTTCATGTAAAAGTTGACTACTGTTAAGATTTTCTTCTGCGATTCATAGCTGATCGACTGCCAGTATTTCACTTAAGAATCTTTCAGCTATGAGGTCTTCTTATTCAACGATGAAAGGCATCAGGTCAAAGGAAATAAGTTTACTTAGGCCGATGCTTGAAACATGCCACAGTGTTCATTATCAGAGCATACAGTGAGCAGAAATTTGATGCCTGACGGCCAAATCCGCAACGGCATTTTCGTTTCCCAGATGTTTTACAACGGCCATGGATGCTGCAGTTTTCTGGACAAGGCCTTAGCTTCTCTACGCTGCCCCTGACTATTTAGATGGCATGAAAGATCACCTATGGCCGTATAAACCGCCTGCAAAAGTTTCTACCCAACCTCTGTGGATCTGATGTGTAAGTTGTTACAAAGCAGCTAGCCAATACAGTTATAAAGAATGTATTGAAACTCGGTGGTAACGTCCTCACCGACGACGAACATTCTTTTCACAACGATATGCCGACCTGTTTATCGAACGATCAAACAACCCGCAGGAAACTGACGACTGTCTGACGTAAGTCTTTAGCTTTCAGGCGGTCTTCGGTTCCTTTTATTATTCCCAACAAAGCCGACCGAAATAGAGAAGTTTGCCTCCCTAGAAAGAAATATCTCTACTGTCCGATAACCCGGAATAGAATCGTTCTCCTGAAGTGAAAGAAAGAATAACCTTAATCTTAGGAGCTTTATGCGTAGTCATAATGTTTACGCTATTCGTCGTTGATGAAACTTCTGTGATTAAGAGCACCTCTAGTAAACTGGCTACTACTACTAGAAATCGAAGTAAAGCGCTATGACAAATAATGCAATTTAAATATGAGTTAAATTCATATTAAAAACGCGATTACAATACTAGAATCACAGGACGTCAGGTTGATGGTTACGAGTTCTGTGGTGAACGGAGCTACCACGATTAGCGAGAAAATGGTGGTTAATGAAGAATAGCCGCGCCTCCTTGCAGATGTTTATGCACATAAATCGATGATATCGGCAAGAAAGAATAAATCTACCAGAAAACTAAAAATTTCTAAAGTCTCTTCCAGAGACAATATAAACTCAATGTGCCCGGGTAGTTATCGAGTAGAATTTTCCAATTCCTCCGGTATTGATAACATTTTAATTTCTGCTACCGGATTTACTCGGCTAAGTGCCCCGCCCATTGCTTCTAGCTGTCTTGGGGAAGGGGAGGCCATAGTCGTCTTTATAATTACTAATCTGCCTTAAAGAAAAGGAAAGTTTGTAATCATTGGAATGTCAGTTTCCGTTGAACTTCCGTGGAGCAATCCTCTTTCATGGCGTTTATCGTTAAATGCTAATTTCTGCTGCATTTCATCATCTGGGTAGTCCGTTTACTTTTTAAGGCTATTCTACAGCTAGCGTATAATATAACCAGTATAGTGTATAATCGTTTGTTTGCTTTCCACACAAAGTACCCATTTACCTACCAATAATCAAAGGTTAATAACATTGCGAGGGCTCATACACTAATGATCTTTCGATTGTGAGTCCGATGTTTAACCGGAAGAACGACCCTGATTTGTTGCATGTATATCTGGGCTATGAAGGTGAATTTAAAAAAAAAACTGCGCAACCGCTGGTGGTTCAAACAGTTCATACGCATGACGGTCTCTCAAGCCACTATCAGGATGCTTTCCTTCAGAACTAGTCTTATCTTACTACTATCCAACAATATATAGATGTTCTCAAAAGCATCACTATGCATTTATTAATTCGTTGTACTGGCAATTACTATAATACGATTTTAGCCAAAGGTCAAACGAAGAAATATCAGGGTCTCTTGAAAAGAAAGAATATGTACAAAATCAGGGACAATTCAA